CATTTTTCTCCACAAATTGTCCGTTTAAATGATCGGATCAGAGTACTCGAGTCCTCTCAAAAAAATTTGCATCCTTTTTCATTCTTCTTTTCTTATTTATTATATATATATATATATTCAGAAACATGATCATGATTCCTATTTACTCGTGTCACCGTCCGCAACAAACAACAATGATACGTATATGAAGATAAATTAAAAGAAAATATCGTCTGATGAAACGATGAAATATCGTTTCGAGTTGTTTATTTTTTTTTTTTTTTTTAAGACATCGCAAAACCCATTAATGATTGTAACGTTAATAGGTATGAGAAAGTAATTCATCGATGCGACATTACTATACCTAATTGTTATACCTAATTGTCACTTTAGCGCAATCTAATTTTTACGTAGTAACGTAATAAATAATAATAATAATAATAATAATAATAATAATACTAATAATAATAATAATAATAATAATAATAAAACACCTAACTTAATCGTTTCAACATAGTATTTCGAAATGATCATTTTTGTATAGAAAATTTTATGAATATAAGAAAGAGAATAAACGAATGGGAATGATGTAAAATGTGATTCAATAAGCGTGAGATAAGAGAAAATTTTCGCATCGCAATCGTTATCATTATGTTTTTTCTTTAACAATAAGTCCCAATTATAATCGTCAAATCGTTAAGGATCGACACGCCCATAATGTACTTTATTAATTTCGTATCATTATGAAGTCGCACGATAATACTCGAGTACTCGAAAGATTCGAAGAATTTCCTCTGGTCGAGAGAAAAAAAAAAGAAAAGAAAAATAATAAAAACCTAAATAAATAAATGAATAAATGAAGAAGGAAAGAAAGAAAAAGAAAAATAAAAATAAAGAATCAAAACCAAACGGATCGAAGTTATAATTGATTTGATTCGATTCGTACGATTACTCGTATCATGCCTTAAGTGAGAGAAAGAGAGAGAGAGAGAGAGAGAGAGAGAGAAAGAGAAAAGAGAGAGAAAGAGAAAGAGAGAGAGAGAGAGAGAAAGAGAAAGAGAGAGAAGCGTTGATCGTCGACGAATGATATAAACAAATAAAAAAAGCAAAAAACAAAAGAAGAAAAAGAAAAGAAAAAAGAGAAAAAAAATTAAAACGAAAAAGAAAGAGGAATACATTTCTCTCTCTCTCTCTCTCTCTCTCTCTCTTTCTCTCTCTCTCTCTCTCTCTCTCTCTCTGAGCCGTTATTCTGAAATTCGTGAGTACAGCGTAGAAACAAAAAAAAAAAAAAAAAAGAAAAAAAAAAGAAAAAAAAGGAAAACTTAGTTAAAAACCCATAGAGACGTGTATATTACCTTCTGATTAAGTGTCAGTGCTAATTAAAGATAGTCTAAAGAAAAACTATGTTACGAGCTAGCGATTATTATGTAGTGTATGAACCTGTGGTAGTGAGATATTCGAATAAACTTGTTCTCTCGTGATAAATTGAAAGTTTATGTCTTCTATCTGTCATTTCTCGTTGTGTATTTATCTCTGAAAGCTCATACCTACATACATACATATATACATACATATATACATATATATATATATATATATATATATATACATATATATATAGGTACGATTCGGTGTACGTATGTACGTATGTATGTACATACATACACCATTCCAACTCCACGTTCTATTATTAGTTCGAAACATTTCCGTATAACGAAGTCGCTTGGTTATACAATTTCAAAAGACAAATTATTATTCCATTCAACGTGACACAAATGGATGGATATCGAGTTCATCAGATTTCCAATATCATCGCGTTATATTACTTTTCTAAGAGAACTTTAACAAGCCATTCATTATCATTTTATAAAAATTTTATATATATATATATATACACACATTTTATATATATATATATATGTATATGTATATATATACATACATACGTAAATATAAATGCTGGGCCGTTTAGAAATCGTTGGGTTAAATTAATGTTCAAACGATTTTTCTTTAGTCAGTAGTAATGCTTAACTTTTGTCAGACGTTCTTCGCCGAAACGATGAAACACTCGTACACGTTCGTATAAACGTAAAATCTTTTGCGCATCGTTGAACAACATGAAAATGCGGAGAAGTTATTGCTTTGTAGAGGAGGAGGTGAGGAGCATGGAGGAAAAAAGAAAAGAGGAAAAATGAGAAAGAAGTGGACGAGGAGGAGAAGAAGGAAGAGGGGGAGGAGGAGGAAGAGGAGGAGAAGGATAAGTGGGAGAAACGGTGATGGGAAAGAGGAAGGTAGAGGAGTGAGAGACGAAGACGGAAAGAAGAAAGAACAGCAGAAGGGGTTGTTGGCAATCAATGCTTCTCATAAGGAAAGCTCGCCCTCTCTTATGGGATCAACCCTCTTGGAGAGTACGCGGAGGGGTTGTACAGAGGGAGAAAGGAAACGACGAAGCTGGAATAGAGAAAGGAAGAAAGAGAGGGAGCGTGGGAGAGAGGGAGAGGAACAGACGAGGGGTTGTCCTCGGCTCGACCAACCAGAGACAAGACGCCATTGATCGGCACGTGGCTCCGGGTTGGTTCAACGAATTCCACGAGGTTGGTGGAGAGGGTAGTAGATTTCTGGCTCGGAGGTGCGCCATCGTGATAGTAGCTGGTAGGAAGTGGTGGTGGTGAAGAAGGTGGTGGTACTCGTTGCTGATGATGGTGGTGGTGGTAGTGATGGTAGTGATGGTAGTGGTGGAGAGTGGAAAGGTGGGAGGGTGGGTGGGAGGGAGGGGGAGACATAGACCCGTTCTGCACACTCCGTTACACTTACTGGTAAACCGTATTAATCAACGACATCATGGTTTATCCCCATTCTTCCCCACCACTAGCACCACCACCATCACCACCACTACCACCACCAATACTACTACCCACTATCAACATACGACGACTATCATTATAGTAGTGTGTTGTATGTCGAGAGATGCGCGCGGGCAGACGCGCGCGTTCGAGCTTAAGCTCGTTCTCGCGCTCGCGTTCGCGGCTCGTCTGCTTCCATCTCCACGAATCTCCCCTCGCCCATCGTCGTCGTTGTCGTCGTCGTCGCCGCCGTCGTTATCGTCGTCGTAGCTAGTCTACAGCAAGACGCGTAGTCCTACCTAACCTCGTACCACTTTCTGCAACACCGTGTATAACGTTTGGATGATGAGGGATGCGGAAATGTACGGAAGTGCGAGGAGTAGGTGGGGAGGAAGAGAAAGGGATGATGTTGAAAAATAAAAGATAAAGACGTAGAGTCTAAGGTGGTGGAAAAGCTAGGCGCCAAGTTACTTCGGGCGAAGCGATCGACGCTTAACGATGTCTCTCGATACTCCTTACGTGGCTACCCCTAGGATTCAACGAGCCATTACCGCCCTTCTTCTTTCTTTTTCTTCTTCTTTTTCTTCTTCTTCTTTTTTTTTTCTTGCTTTAACCACCAAGAGAAAAATCCGGATGTCGATTTGTACATCTCTAACCTTTTCTACTTTAAGATCCTTACGATCTCTCTTAAACGTACTACGACTTTGTGTGTGTCGTTCAAGAAAATCTTTATATCTCTTAGAAAGAAAGAAAAAAGAGATAGATAGATAGAGAGAAAGAGAAAGAGAGAGAGAGAGAGAGAGAGAGAGTGAGGGAGAGAGAGAAATCATTAGTTTATTTTTAAATACATATGTTAAATAATAAGAAGTAATACGCGAGATAAATCTGATACTTCTTTTTCTTATCTTTTTTTTTCATTCGTTTTTTATTTTTTATTATTTTTTCCTTTTCTTTCTTTTTACATTTTCTTTTTCTGCAAAAAAAAAAAAAAAAAAGAAAAAGGAAAAAAAAGTATATTAAAAGTAAAGATATTTCATAATAAGACAAACATTTGTTTCTCATTTAATCCCGGTCCTCTCCGTATGCAATTACACGATTGTGAATCAAGAGTGAATATGAAATAGAGGGAGCTTTCACGATATCGCGAGATTCAACGGCAAGGAAGCGTAAAAGGTGGAAACCTTCTTGATGCCGGTAGACAGTGATTAATACCGCAACGTCGTCTGGCGTCTTCCGCTTCTCTTTTCCGCCCACTGCTGCCGCATGCGTCGGGACGTTCCAAAAGAGAGATAGAGAGAAAGAGAGAGATAGAGATAGAGATAGAGAGAAAGGAAGAGAGAGAGAGAGAGAGAGAGAGAGAGTTTTCAGCTTGGCTCTCGTTCACTCCCCCAAGCGCCCTTCGTGGTAAAAGGTTTTACGAAATTCATTGTCAGGCAATTTGCATGTCAAAGCCAAACGGGAACACGCCCCGTGACTTATAACCAACACAAAGAGAGAGTCCGTCTCTATCGCTTCTTCGTTGCACCTTAGCGTCGACCGCGAATCTCCCTATTTATCTCTCTCTCTCTCTCTCTCTCTCTCTCTCTTTCTCTCTATCGTCTTCGTTTCTGACATGATGGAATTATAGCAAAAATGAGGCCATTTTGCGGTCAAACCGTGAACAGTCCTCGAAAAAAGAATTATCGTGAAAGGTAAGTAGGTACATACGTTGTTGCAATGAGTGCAATAATGATTCTTAAGGTATGGAATGAATTGAAAACCAAAAAAAAACAAGAAAATAAATAATAATAAAAAGTAGTAGAAGAAGAAGAAGAAGAAAGAAGAAGAAAAAAAAAAATATTTCCTCCAGTTTTCTTTCCTTTTAATATGCTCGTAAATCTGCGTTAGGAGTTGTCGTTAATGTATATAAAAAAAAAGCTTTTAGATTATCGAAGATAAAAGCATTTATGAAAAAGGATTCGAAAGAGTATCGATAAAAATGATACCGTGTTAAGGATCGAAATATCAGAGAGAAAGAATAAGATAAAGAGATAGAGAGAGAGAGAGAGAGAGAGAGAGAGAGAGAGAGAGATAGAGATAGAAATAGAAATAGAGATAGAGGTAAAGATAGAGATAGAAAGATAGAAAGAAAGAGAGAGAGAGAGAGAGAGAGAGAGAGAGAGAAAGAGAAATCTCTTGGAAAGGATATCCGGTATAACGTCTTATAAAGGATAAAGCTTCACCGAGAAGACGAGAACGGAGAGAATTTATCGAGGTTGTCTGGTGAAACTAAGGGGATCAGAAACCGCAATGATTTTCAATTTTCAAATCCACTTCGTGGCCGTTCCTACTTGTCCTTCGTTTCGAGAAATATTGGTAGTCGTATATTACGCTCCTGATACCTAATATCTACATACATATATACATATACATATATATAATACATATATACATATACATACATATATATATATATATATATATGTATGTATGTATGTATATACAGGGTGTACATTAAGAAATTCCGAGTATTATCTAAATTCTATATTATATAAGATCTTTTTTTTTAAATAGTTTAATTATTTGCTATTGAAAACATTTCGACGTTTATTTTAAAAGA